CAGTAGAAGTGGTAGTTTGACTCTCATTATATATATATTATGGCAGGTGACCTTAACTGCAGCAGCAGGAGGGAGGGTTGTCTGTCTCTCCATTTAAACCCAGAGAAGAAGAGCCACTGATACCAGGTTTGTTTTTTTCTTTTATTGGAGCAATCAGTTAACCACAGCCACAGTTAACCTTACTGTCGCGACACTGAAACAAAAACACACGACCCACTGTAGCTATAATGGAAAGGCGTAACAGATGCCAATTTTTCTCTCCTTACCACGCTCTGTTTTTATCCTCCTGCTCATTCCTCTCTCATTACATCTTTCTTACTCTGTTTGTGTCCATATTAGATTCCTTTCTCCATGACGTGTTAGCCTACAGTTCACTGAAGTGAGTCACTTGAGACAAACTTTTTTTCAGCGTCCTTCTAGAGTCAAAAAAAGTCTCTGGAGTTTGTTACATATAGATCAAAACACCTCCTCCGTTCTCACTCTCCCTGTCTTCCCCCTCTGGCTGTCTTCTTCTGGTCCTGATTTCTTGCATCTTTACTCTCCCCCCTACCTTTCTTCTCCTTGTCTTTCTATCCCACCTGTCCTCTTTCCTCCTCTACCCCACATTTGTAGAGCCTCACCAAAAATCGCATAAACAAAATGCAATTAACACCCCAAATGCAATGCTAACGTGTACATGTTGAGAGCGCAAAAAGAGCTTTTTTTTTTTTGCAAGCACCTCTCATGCCAAACTCCCTGTTTCTCTCACCCTCTCTCTTCATCCCTTGTGTCTCCCTTTCACTCTTGCCTCCTCTCATTTCATCCTACTTGCCAATTCCCTATTGTCACTATCCATCCACACCCCTCCTTATTCTACTCCAGCATCCTTTCCTTCCCCCCCCGCCCCCCTCGATATCACATCTTTGAAATTGATAGAGAGGTGAAGTAAAACCATTCTAAACCTTGTGCTGTGAACCAGGTCCGTTTTTGCCCCACATCTGCACATAGAAATAGAAAGAAGAAGAAGAACAAAACTAGCCATGGGAAATGCCCCTTTATTAATGTAGTGTTAATGATACACCTGTCATTCCTGTGCACACAGCTAGTAGTTGCTATAGAAACGTGTCACCTAGCAGCGGCACACGTAGTTGCTATAGGGACAAAACTTCACGTGACGTCTCCTATAGATAGGTAAATTGACGTTATTCTAACAGGCATCTCCTTGCTCAAGGACACAACACGTGCAGCGGGATATCACAGAGGAAGCATGAAAGTGTGTGTGTGTGTGGGGGGGGGAATCGCTGCTCTGAAAGACATAATGTTTTTAAAATGGGAACTCATGTAAGTGTGTCTCTAAATGTTATGTCTCCATTAACAGAATAAATCTGCACCCCGAGGTATACTAAATTGTTTTAATAGTTTTCTTGCCTCACATTATGCACATTAATAATGAGGTGATCAAATGGAGGCTAAGTCATGATTCTTTAAACACTCATTTAGAAAACTGCTTATTAAGACAGCAAAGTGGAAAAATGCAGCAATGCATTTTGCATTATTCAGAAGTTTTATCTAATTCGACGTGCAAAAATGTTTTTATTAATATTAATGCAGTCTGTGTATGGACACTGTGTGATAAATTCTTCAATGTTGTTGCAGGAAACAGCAGGTTTCTCTCTCTCTCAAAAGCCTAAAACATAACACACTGAATGCTGCACTCAAAAAGGTCTATGAACACCCAGCGCAGACTCTGATTGGCTGTTAGGCGTTGAGCACGGTTTCTGAATATTAAGTTGTCGTTTCATGTGGTCACTGCACAGGTCCAACACGTTCACTTTCAGCAGAAAGCCTTGCTGTGTCAGAGCCTGTGTGGATTCTCATTAGGCTACTGGTGTGTCTGTTACGGCAGCATTTCGTCCTCTCTGCCCCACTTGTTTCTTGCTCCCGCCTTGTTAAAACAACAGATGCACTTGGCTTGTTTTCTGCCTCTGTTTTGCTGGAAGAACAGCACTCTCCTCTCCTTTACTGTCAGGCCTTTCTATCCTCTTTTTATCCGCTCATCACCCCCTACTTTGTCTCCTTCAAAACGGTTTTTACCATTGTTTTCTGTTCCGTTCTTGTACAGGCTTTCAGTTTCCGGTCATGACTCAGTGTTGCATCCAGTAAGGTGCACTGATGTACAGTACATAAGTGCTTCTATCTCCCTCTTCATCTTCATCTCCTCCCCACTTCTCCTCCTGTTCCTGTACTCCTGTTGTCATCTTTTCTGTCATTTTTTGGTCTTGCCTGTCTCCTTTCCTCTATCATGTCCCCGTACTCCAATCCATCCCTTTCTCATCTTTCAGTAAACCAAGGAAATCTCCATCCCCCTGCTCTTGAAACATTGTGTGGGTTCCTGTTTGACGCACACCAAGGAGTGAAAGGAGAGAATCAAGTAGAGAGAGAGACAGAGTGAGAGGAAGCACAGAAAAACCCGAGAAAAGAGGCTGGTAGTGTTTGTCCTTGTTTGATTCACCATCTGTGGTAAAGCACTTTCCTACAGCAGTATTACCAATAAGATGATTGACATGAAAAATACATTAGGATGTGAGAAGGAGAAAAGAGGGTAGGAGGAGAGAACGTCTGGTCTTGCGTCTGATTCACAGTTACTTTAAAAAATAAAAGCTTTGTCTGATTTTGATTCTCAAAGCAGACTTTATTGCTTTGAGAAACGTAGAAGAAAAGAAAGGAAGCGAGCGAGAAAGAGGGAAGTAACCAAATAAAAGCAAATTAAAATTAGAGACGGATTAAAAATAGATCTGAGAGGACAGAGGGTAGTGGGAGGATAAAGACAAACAGAAGGAGATAAGAGGAGAAAGAAAGCTGGGGTGGAGGAAAATGAAGTAAGGGAGGCAAAAATTATTCAGGGTCACAACCAGAATGCATTAGCCGACAGACCGAAGGCGAGAATGAAAGAGAAAGGGAGAGATTTTACAGATAGTGCATTCTTGGAGGAAGAAAAGACAGTGGGAGCAAGGAGGGAGAACAAAATTAAGAAATAGACGAAGGTCATGGGTGTGTTCATGTTCCCATGCTAAATCTGTTTTATCCTCTTATATAAACAGATGTGACAGAAAACTGGTAACCAAATAAATACACTATTATTACTATAACTATATAGAGACAATTGTAGCACAGTAACTTTGGACCGGACAGCTCGAATACACTGTTTGGAAAAATAAGTAATACCAAAGTCACATTACACTAATACTGAAAGAACTGTATCTTAACAACATTCTAACTGAAAATAATGCAATTTTGGTTTTGTTTTAGCTTTAAATGATCACAAACACTGGACAATTTTTATCATTTTCTCTTCTACTGTCTGTCTCTCTTGTCTTATTTTCTCTCTTCCAATGCGAGTAACAATCATCCGTACAAAACGCAGAGCGCTGTATGGCTGCATACAGTTATATGGATTAAACAAAGCTTTGATACAAAGAATTTGCATCTACCCGACAAATAATGGTAAATAATGCATCACAATCACATCACGCTATAACTGAAAGTAATGCAGCTGGTAAATCCAGTCTTAACCCCTCTGACAAATAGTAGTAACTCAGACCACTTTCTGTCATCAACCTATTATTAATATAGAACTTTTTGCTGGTGACCTTCCTGAGTCTCATTCCCAAAACAAATTTTCATGGTTAGTAAAACTTTTAAACGCTCTATGGCAGCTTTCAATTTAAAGAGGCTGAATGGCCCTCAACTGCTGGGGGTCTCTGTGGTGACACAGTTTAATATTTTCATCGAAAAAGTCCCAAGTTCTAAAGAAAGTACCAACACGAACAAGTCAGTTAACCTGTTGCAATTAAGTAACTTTGCCAGAATTTGTATTGAAGAGGAATACTTGGTACTTAATTTAACATCAAATATAGTCTGTTTAATCCTTTTAGTACTAAACAAGACAATGCTAATGTTCATGTGCGCCCAGATTAACAGGCATTTAGACCCAAATGAAGGCTCCCGGAATAAGCCTGTTGTTTGTTTTAAGCCCTCTTCCTTTTTACAACTATTAATAGACCATCTGAGCAGCTGGTGAGCAGAGACTATGGTTCATTTGAATATTATGTCAGAATTGCAGCACTGTATTTTCAGCTTTATAACGGCAACAACAACGTAAATAATGACAAAGTACACATGCAATAAATTACAGATTTGAATTAAAATGAATAAAAACAACCTAGGACTAAAAAACAAACCATTTGTGTTTCTCTTTCTGTCTGCTTGCTTTCTATTTCTATATCTGTTATCATCTTGTTTCCTGAGTTTCTCTCTGATACACACAGGAAGACAAGCAGTAAACAAACATCCCGCAGGGGTGTATGACTATGTACAATATGCACACACACTCACACACAGGCACACCATTGCCCATGTTGTCTTAAAGTCTGGACTCCAACAACAAAACATCACCAGTAAACAGAGGAGACTATAATGGGTTTGTAAATGTATGTGTGCTTACATCTGTATCATAGCTAAATCTGACAAACTTTCCCCGTAAAACTGTGTAAAAAACTGTCACCTGGAGCTTTTTGGAAGTCACTGCTGTATGTGAGGTGACAGGCCTGCTTAAAATAACGACAAATAGAGCTGTGATCCCTGGAACTGGTTCAATCTGCTTGATTGTGAGCGATGCTGCACTCTGAATATTAAGTGTCTTACACATCCTATATTCAGAGCATCTGGGAGATTTTGGCTATGCAGAAATACATATGTGCATCCCCAGGCTTGTCCCTAAATACATACAGTTGTTGGTGACGTTTTTTTCTTCCAGTGCATCTGTGCCTCTAAATGGATGTTTAAAGTTGTTGTTTTCAATTAGTTGCATCTTTTTGAGTATGTAAGAAAGACCAAACAAACTGTCGGGAAGCAGCTCCACATCAGTAGTTTTTTAGTGACATGGCAGCACAAACACAGGTGCTGGACATATGCTGCATGTTAAACTCATTACTAATTTATTTCTGTGTATGTATCTGCAGGTTGGTTCAGTATGACTGCAGCAGCAGGTGTGCTAACAGGCTTGGCTAAGCTAAAACGCCAAGACTCTGCCCGCTCTCAGCACCGGCCCATACCACCTGCATCACCAGGCCTGGGAAACCCCGCCCCAGAGGCTGTCCCCAGGTGATACTCTTAGTAGTTACTGACGCAAAGATTGATACAAAGTTTTTATTCATCTGTAATTGCTAGGAGTCTGCTCTCTTTCTGCCGTGATTACCTTAGACCTTGCCTTTTTCACCAACTACTTTGGTTGAAAGAAAACTGGTAGCAGTTTAATTTGTTTGTAGTGTTAAGGTCAATGCAAATTCTTTTGCAATCTCTGTACCTTTTTGTAAATTAGTTGGAATGTCACTAATATTATGTCTCCAAAAACCATCAGATTTGTTTTCTTTCCATACTTTTCATTTAGAAAGCGAAAACGACGCACAGATGTTGTGGTTGTACGCGGTAGGCTCCGCCTCTATTCTGCCTCTGGGTTTTTCCTCCTCCTGGGTCTGGTCATCCTAGCCATAGGGATCGGCATGGCAACACTGGGTTACTGGCCACACAGTGAAACCATGCCCTCGGCCAAATCGCAGACTGGAGGAGGATCTAAGATACCACCTGACGGGGGAGCTAAAACATCTATCACAGGTGAAGGAAATGGAGCCAAGATGGCCGTCACAGATGGGGACGTGGCAAACTCCAGCACTAGTCATAACGTGCATGGTAAGAGTCAGTTTCTCCTGAACTGCTTCTAAATACTTAAGCTGTTTTTTCATAGGAACTCCAGACACTGTCTGGAGAATCAGTTCTGGGCATTGTCCACATGTAACACATGTAACATACAACAGGAGATTGTCTGTGTCCGACGGGCTCTCACCTACTGGAAATACTGATTTAGGCAAATGCAACTGGATAGAGCATGCAGGAGGAGGAGGAAGACTCATCTATAATGTTTACGGTTTTTGCCTTGATATTAATATGTATATTTCGCCGTATCCACAATATCACTGAAGAGTCCAAAGCAACATACGGGCAAGCAGAAAAGAGTACGAAGCAGCTACTCTGTGCAACGTTATCAACATGCCCATCCTGCTGTGAATTCTTCGGACAGTGACTTGCTTTGTTCACACCTGGGCTCAGTCGGACATTACACAGACTTTGTGCTAGAGAACTGGCAGGGTAAAGTTCGTTTAATGTCCCGTCCAACTGATTCAGACATTCACGTTCACACATTCAGCTTGTCCGGGTAACGTACAAAAAAGGTTAAGGTAACAGTATATGTGTGAATATAAGAGTTGCTCCTCTTTATAAACTTAAATTCCTGATATTAAAAGGCTCACACACTCCATGTGTTCTGCATGTAGGTACGCCCTCCAAGCAGACTGGGGGCGCTCTGACGAGGTTCCTGGAACAGCATCGTCACTCCGAGAGGATGAAGATGTTTGGGCCTTTCACCATGGGAATTGGAATTTTCATCTTCATCTGTGCTAATGCCATCCTTCACGAAAACAGAGACAGAGAAACTAAGGTAGGGATGAAATAAGGCGCCAGAGAAATTACATACTAGTCTTTACTGCCTTGCAAGGTTTTAAACACTAACTTGTGCAGGAAATGAGTTCTAGGACAGGTTATGAAGGAATATTTCAAACAGATATTTAAATATCTATATATGTAGTTAATATTCCTTCCTAACCCCGTATTCTCATTTCTGTTCTTCTACTCTTTACGAAATGAGGGGCATGCACACTGCAGTCATCCATATTCATCATCTCTACATAACTTACATGCAAATCATATTTCGGCCAACCTCCTTCTACCCATATCTCTGCAATTTTCCTCTGATCACATTTCCTCTGCACTTATGCCCTCTCCTTTCCTTTCTTGATTCGATTAATCCTCTCCTCTTCCCGTACCCCCTTCCAGGTAATCCATGTGAGAAATATGTATTCCAAGGTCACAAACATCCAGCACAAACACACAAATATGAAACTATAGAATATTTATATATTCTAATGGGATATTAAACATCAGGTAATCCACAGAGGAGTGTTACTGCTAATAATATATGTCTCTTCTGCACTAGATAATCCATATGAGAGACATGTACTCCACAGTCATCGACATCCATCGCCTCAGGCAGAGAGAGCAGAAGCAGCACCATCACCGCAACAGCACCTATGCAAGAGAAGTTGGGGATCTTCGAGCCTTCGGATCTGATAACGCAGCACGGTTGGGCAGCAACTCCCTCCTTGCTTTCTCCTCTCGGGCTGGAGGCGGAGGGTCTACAGAAGAGGAGGAGGTGCTGTTAGGTGACGAGGAGTTTCACAGACACAGGGAGCAGGCAAAGCTGGACTGTAGCTTTGCGGGGCTGCTGGCGCCGCTCTACAAGGATCGTTCCTTCTGTGGCCCGGGGCTGGGGATGGCTCGTTCGGATTCGGTGCGCCATCAGTGGTCAGTGGACGGAGATGCGGAGAGGGGAGGACACCACGCACGCTCTATTGTCTCCTCCTCTATCTCTGCATTTACTCTCCCGGTCATAAAACTCAACAACTGCGTTATTGACGAACCGGAGATGGAGGCGATTACTGAGGAGGATAGAGGAGGAGAGAGAAGAGACAGAGAGAGGCAGCCTCTGAGCTCCATGGAGTCTCTGGTTGTTCCTGTAGCATCTGTTGCCAAGGCCTCGAAACCACCAGGCTTACACCGGAGTAACTCCGCTTCCTCGTCCTCCCACTGCTCCTCTGTCTCCTCTACCTCCCTCTCCCCTGCTCCCTCTTCTACCTCAGGCTGCTGGCTCTCCCCGGGAGCAGCAAGGACTGACTTTGGCTCTAACTCCTCTCTGCACATGCTCAGCAGCCACTCCAAATCTCTGGACTTGGAGCGCGGGCCAAGCATGCTCAGCGTGCGCCCAGAGCAGCGGAAGCACCCCAGCTGGCCCCGCCTCGACCGTAGCAACAGCAGCCGCAGTAACAGCGGCAAAGGGGGCAGCAGTAAAGGCTACATGCGGCTGGAGGACAGGGAAGAGCAAGGGGAGCGGCTATTAGACATGTCAGCGGCCATGGCAGCGAGACGCGACTACAGTAAGCGGGAAAAGCTGCTAATGATATCGAGGTCGCATAATAATCTGAGCTTTGAGCACGATGAGTTTAACAGCAGCACACTGAAGAGGGGAAGCTCTGAGACTCGATTCTGAGGGAAAATGAACTGAAGGTTGAAGACAGCTCTGTCCTGTTCTGTAAATTGCTCTCCAGCCAGTGTACAGCGCGTTGGTGTCAGAGGGAAACTGACGAGTTTAACAGCTGCACCCTCAGAAAGGAAACTCAAACCTTATTTTGAAGACACTTTTTTAAGCAGCAGGCTGGAGAGTAGTTAGTAATGGACCACCTTGCCCGGTAAAAGGTAAAGGCCTCACATCAGCAAGACACTAAATGCCTATTGTGCCAGGTCCAGTGGGGCTGTTCTGTAGCCGACCCTGACCTGTGACCTCTGTGGAGGCAGGCAAGTGAAAAAAGAAGGTCCCTACAGGGGAACACATTGCATCATCCGTCTACTTTATACAAACACAGTTCTAATAAACCCTCAACCCTCAGACACTTTAGGATGATACTGTTTCATTATACAAGGTTTCTTTTCTTACTGTGTTAGTTTCAGGTTCAATTCAAGGACACGCTGGAAGCACTTTGAGCAAGTTTCTTCCTTAGCGGGCAGCAGTGACACAAAGGCAAATCTTTTATAACGAGGCCCAGGCACAACCTGAGAAATGAGCGAGACCAGTTTAATATCAGAACAAAAGAAGATAGTAATAGTAACATTCATGATCTTTGCTTGTAGGACACCTACAAAATGCTTAAAAGGGTTGTATAGAGAGACATTTTCAACTAATTTCTAGAGGTTATAATGGCATACTGCAACGGCAAGTCCAAAAGATATAGATATTAGTGGTAAATTATTTGTTTTAAAGGTGGTTCATGTATGTTTGTGTGTCTGTCTGATCTTCAGATTGTAGCAGATGTAGAGATCCACACAAAAAGCAAAGTCAGACAAAAACATTTAATATCATGTCATTACACTACAGCACAGATATGAGTTCAAATCATAATGCCAGGCTGCAAAATACAATAACAGAGTCCTTGTTGCCCCGCAGGCACAATATTGCTGCCCTTTCCCAAGAACTATAGTAAGAGATTTTGTGTGTCCGCTACTGAAAACTATAAGTAACATTGGCTCTGCTACAAACTTAATTTTTTTACTAGAAAAGATTTTGATTGACTTCACTCAGGATATGCCGTCTATTATTCATGTGCTGATCATTTTTGTAGACCTATTTACAAACCTATTCAGTATTACGCCTCAGTTCCACTAGGCCAGCTCTGTGATGTCACTCCTCGTGGCTTCATGCCCCACCAGGAGAGTTTCGCCTGCTCGATTTTGTTAATTTTGTTCAGATTTAGTTGATTTGGTCATTTTTCCTTGATTTATGTGCTTCTACCATGGTTAGGCTGTTTCCTTGTTGTCTGTTTTTATGATCGGGAGTCTGCACACACAGTGTTTTATTTTGAAAACTGACAGTATTCTAAGCAGTTAAGACACTATACTTGAGTGTGACCAGAGGTACAATGAATTAGGGTTGTAACTAATGATCATTTCCATTACTTATTTTTTCAATCAATGCTCTATGAAATGTCAAAAATACATGTAATGACAAAGTCATAAAAGCAAAAGTTAAATTAACAAATAAAATAATTACATTTAAAGGAATTTTACTTGATAAATGACTTAAACAATTGATTAATTTTAAGTCAATTAACACATTTTTGGTTCTGCACAATTGAAAAATCAATATTTGAAACAAAAGTCAGTATAAAAGAGACCCTGGCGTTTGACTCGAGCTAACAGTAAATCACCATGTACACATTTATCTTGTGCTTGAGCTGTAATATTAAAGTCCAACTGAAATTATATGCCATTTTTTGTCTGCTACAGCAAACATATCTGCTCTGTAAATCACTTATCCTGTGTACTTCTACGTGTACGGTCACACTGAGCCAGACAGCAGCCTGCTACACAACACTGACTTTGAACAACCCAAATTCGCTTCCCTGCTAAAGTCTCCTTCTTTATCTAACTTACACACATGAACACATATCTTGTCCTGCACTTTAGGCTTGTTGAGCGAGCGACTAAACAAACGTTCACCGGGGAAAAGTGCACTGCTAACGTCAGCTAATTAGCAGCACATTAAACAGCATGTAAACATACCTGCAAATGTCACATGGGTACGGTTAGACACTGGTGTGGTTCTCCCTGATTTAAAACACTTTTTTTTTTTTTTTACAGAATGGAAGACTAAATGATTGAATTCAGTTGGACTGTTTCTGCAACTTGTGTCGCTTTTCATTTAATTAATTAATTTATTTTTTGGACAGTATTCATCATTTTATGTTCAGCTACTAAGCAACATAGTAATAATGTCTCAGCATATTTAGCTATTAACATGTTGACAAGGTAAGTTGTCCCAAACTCGACACGTGAAGACATTGATCTTCAGTATATGGAGCTGACATGATGTCTCCATATTGCTCAATATCTGTTTAGTTTGTCAGCTACGTTAACAATACATTAAGACAATTATTAATGTAGTTAAAACATCTTCTGTGCTACTTTTAATGCAACACACATGAACAATAAAACATCAACACCACATGCGTGTTGAAAAAGGCAGAGCCCTTTACAAGCAGGAATCTTGGCCAGAGAGCTTCATTAACTGGTTCCTAGCAGTTTATGAGTCAATGTCCAATTCTAGTCTCTGTCAAAATAAACTGTATTTTCACTGAAAGACGTTTTGTCCTATTGAGTGTGTTTAACCAATACGGATTCCTACACATGGATTCACACAGCGTCTTTCTCAGGGGTCAGTGGGAGGCAACAGTATCTCTTGGACACACACACACACACACACACACACAAAATAAACACACAGTCTGACCCCACACCTTAAAACAACTTCCCAAATAGATCATTCATTCCTATATCTCTCTTTCTTCCTCCTTCTCTCTTCATCTTCTGCATACAAAATAAGCAAAGGTCTGGATGAGTCATCATCAATTATCATATGCTCTGCAGCTCTGTGGGAACAACATCCACACACACACACACACACACACACACACACACACACACACACACACACACACACACATGCAAAGACCAAAGATTTTACTTACATGAAAGCATGCAAACATATTCCTCCTCCCATGCAAATATAAACACACAAAAGCACAAATACTGACACACACACAAATACCCACAATGCTGTTCAAAAGCAGAAGGCTGATGATGCTGTCTCATCCTTTGTTTTCAAGGGCACAAATGATAATCCTAACCCTTTGTGAAGGCAGGAAACATATTTAGGGGGCAGAGATGGATGATGTCGCATCCAGTTAACATAAAGCAAGTAAACTAACTTTACCTCGGCCTGTTGAGACTTTCCTTCACTCTCTTTGTTTGACCAGTTAAAGATTTTAATGTGAATATGAAATTAAAGGCTGAAGTTCTTTTTGAAACAATAGTTTTGCCTTCAGCAGTCAACTCAGCGTTGTCATTTTAATCACATAATGTTGGAGCATCCCGTTGCTTGGAAACACTAGGATGCAATATTGACCTTGTGTCTCTTCCAGTCCATTCACTATCATAAAAACAAACCAAGACAATCATAATCCTACAGACAGTTTTCATCAAAAACAAGACTTGTTTCCCTGAAAGTTACATCAGAGGCAAATTAGCAAGAGCACAAAGCCACTTAGGATACAGAACTTCCTGTAACTACATTTTGGTTGCTAAGTGCATCTCCCATTCAAACAGATGGCTAAATAATTAAAGCAACTGAATCAAATGTTCCAAACGTTTTACTTAGTGCACAGAAATACATGCTAGTGCCTTTATTCGAAAATCCTTGATGCTTAATCAGGCAGTGCATCCAAATCTCAGTTCTGCTCTTTCTGAAGGACACTGTGACCGAACGGAGCAGGGCACATACATACACTCTATCACTTTGCATCATCTGGGTATTTGTTAAATCCCAAGCCGATGTGTTACGGAGAGACAGCTCGTGCCTTCTCACCTCCTCGGCTGTGTCACACACATAAGCTAGCTGAGGGACTGTGAGTGTGTTTAGGAGAGACTCATGGTCCTACAGTACCACAAACAGGGCAGGGAAGTTGGAAACAAGGCTACTAAGAGATATATATATAGAGTCTACAGCCGTACTGTACTCACAGTAGAGAGTATAGCCTAACATCAGCATTCTAATATGTTTCCAGTAACACGGTTACCGTATTAGTTTAGAGTGTCTGCATGTCAACAGCTGAGGCTGATGGGAATGTCAGTAGTTTTGCAAATATTTTGGTCATTAACCAAAGTATCTGGCAAATTAAGTTTTGACTTAATACAATGATGGCGTCTAGCCAATAAAGAAGATGGTGAGATATTTTAACCTGAACCAAAGTGGTGGACCAAACGACTGGATAAGTGAAAACCTTGACCTGCTGGTGGCGCTACAGGAAATGTCAGGGAATGACCAAAGTCAGTACAATTCATCCAATGGGCACCATGGAGATCTTTCCCAAATTTAATGGCAATCTGTGCAATAGGTACTGAGATATTGCAGTCTGGATCAAAGCGGTGGAACTGACCAATCAATAGAGCATCAGACTGACATTGCCATCCCTAGAGCCACACCACCAGCTTGGCTAGAAAATCAAAACTATATATATTTGCATCCAGGTTTTCAAAAATGCATGTATTCAGTGGGAACAAATGAGCTTGTAGCTGAATGCCAAAGGTTATGGAGGTTGGAAAATATCGAGAAACAGTTAACACATTGTTGGTCTTTTCAAGGGATTTGTTGGCAATATGAAGACTACAGAATAACAGGGACCTTTTTGCTTAACTTGCAAAAGACAATTTGTTATTCATCTTGTACTTGTGTCATGAATGTGTTAACATTCCACGTTCTAGACACCTGCTATAAAGTCGCTTTCTCTTAGAAAACTTGTAGAGACTCTTTTCACATTTCCCGGAGCAGCAACAGCAGTTTGGAATAGACAGAATAAGAACCGGGTTGTACACTGAGTCACCAAGGCTGCACAGACAAACAGTACCAGCTACAGAAACTCTGTCTGCAGAACACTCTATGAGAAAGTCTGTCAGTCTGGACAGGATGTGCTGTTCAGACGATAAAATCCCAAATCATTTTTTTGTGTCGAAATTATTTCAACAATGGGGATGAAGGAAGGCTGTAATAAACACACCTCGCACATGTGCACACACACACACACACACACACACACACACACACACACACACACACACACACACAAGGCACACGGATAAAAATGACCATCACTAAGTCCACAAGAGCACACATTTATATCCACATCAATAGAAAAGGATGACTTTGAAGACCTGAGGCACAGGTGAGCTCTCCGTAGTCAGAGGAGACAGAGAGAGGGTTGATTTTTCATACATATCATTCCTTCTCTCTCGGTAATAACAGGGGTTACATTCTGTGGGTTTAGGTATTTTTCTTTCTATTGTGCAAGTGTGTTTGTAGATTGAAAAAAAACAGATACGACATTGTTCTTTCGCCCTTGTGTTTTCGCCAGCAACAACAGCAGGGATGTGGGCAGTTTACTGACATAATCAGCTAATAAACAGACTAATTACTCCGACACATCTGGAGGGTGAACTGAATGGTTTGCAGATTAGCCGAGGAGAATGGCTGCCAGGAGGGTGAACTGTATTAGCACGGATAATAACAACGCATCGTGGTTTGGGATGAGCAGTGCTGAATTAGTAATGGAAGTCAGTCATCCAGCTAGAAACATATTAGTTTCTCAACTGATAAATGCTCTATTATTTACATTTTCTTATAAAGGGAAAGAGCAGCAAATGTTTATTTTATCAAACTGGATGTTGTATTACTTTCCCTTACTTTTCCTAGCACTGATTGAAATGTAGATTAGTCTAAATCGCTTTCAGACTTCACTCACTGTGAGGAGGAAGTTATTTTAAGTTTCCATAATCACTGCTATCACTGCGGAATAGAGTGACACCTCTGGAGTCAAAGGTCATTTCCTTCCAAAACATGGCCACTCACCGCCATGTTGTCATTATGTCATGTTTGACCCCTCTCCCCGTCCTCCCTCATCCCTTTGCACTGAATCCTGTGTAATTAAGCAAAAAACGGACTCTCCCTGCAGTGTGTGCCACCGAAAGTGCCTCGTGGCGATAGTGTGCCAGTGTGCCAGTGTGTGTTCATGTGCCTATCTGTGTGTTTGTGCACTTGCCATGAGGCAGCAGTGGGGGTGCCAGCCTTGTTGCCATGGCAGCCCGAGATGTGCTCTGGACCCCTGCCTGAGGAGTAAACTCACTCACACACATAAAAACACACGCGCACAAACTGAGCTTTTGAAAATAATATAACTCCTAACAGCCAGGCATTAAATTAAACCCAAATTAAAAAATCTAAACAGTAAAATAGAGCTGTAATCCAATTGGCTTCTGCTCTGTCCCACAGTGATAGTAGACAGATCAGGTAAGGTCAGCACAATTTATCTGATGCACTTCACCTGGATTTGTCCAGTCTCTGCTGTCAGGGAGTAAAAATGATGTAGCGTACTGTAAGAATATATTAAAGACATGCATTCTGCTCTAAATATAGGCAAGAGGATGCCCCTCTATCTCCCATACCTGCTCCACTGCTGCTGTGCTATTCCATCCGTCTCAGGAGGAATTCAGAAAAAGCTACAGTAGTAAAGAAGGATACAGTGCAGGCTGTAGTAATAATGCAAGATGTAATGTAGGACTGGTGACGTGATAGTGGAAGCAGAAGTGCAGAAGAGATCAACATGTACTCAGTGATAACAGCATTATGCAAATAAGCTTGTTATATTAATCACAGCTTTCATGTTCTAAAACAGGATCTGACCTTTTCAGCTTCGTCTTCAAGGCTTTTAGTGTCTAAACTAAGAAAATTTTCATTTTACTGTGTTTTATGTGTCATACTCTCGCTAACAATAACATTGGACACTCCAAAAGGTGACTTGAGTGAGTGAAGTCCCCTTTTCTTCATTTTATATATGGATTTATCACTCACAGGAGGAACACACTCTGTGAAAACAGTCGTACACTGTATTCTGTGCCTGTAGCTCTGGGACTTTGTCATGTTATGTCATGAGAAAATTACTAAAATGTGATGTCTTGTAGAGATCTGGGACTGTGTTTGAAGACTAAATTTGTAATGTGCAATGCTAAATCAGTGGAGAGCATTGCACTCCCAAAACATCACTGCACTCACTATGGACAGATTGAAAAGGAAAAGCATAACCAGAAATACTTACTTCACACATTTTTCTTCCTTGTTAAACCTGCTGCCTACATCACAATTTTATAAGGAGATATCCTGAGATAGCACTATACAAATAAAACTGAACTGAAATGAACTGAATCACTCATAATACAACTCCACCACCGACGGAGAATCAAGTGTATAATGCTAGCAGCGGCTAATGTAGTCTCGAACCTCAAGCCTCTAGCAGAGATGGCGACCGTGCTACACACCCCCAGATCTTCAAACTTGTCGTCTTTTTGGAGCTCGACCCATAACAAGGACTGAAGTGCAACACACACCAGCTGCATACAATGTGTGTCAAAACACACCAGTCATTCTGCACATTGATGCCATCTTGACACGCATCAACCTGGAATGACACGTGTCAGGATGATGGCAGTGTGTCAGTGAGTGTCTCCTCAGGATATGCTACTGTCCTATTTCCA